AGCCTTGGGACTCTGCACTCACATGGGATATCAAGAAGAAGCTCCTGGCTCCTGTCTTTGGATTGGCTCATCTCTGGCCATTTCAGCCACTTGGGTAGTGAATCATTGGACAGAAAATCTTCCTCTCTATATTATACTTTCCAGTAAAAAGAAATAAATCTTGAAAAATAGATTTATTTACTTTTTGAAAGTTGAAACAAATCCTATTGTTTAAACATTAGAATGGTGTTTGTATTTAAGTTCAGTACAGTTGTAGAATACTGGAGTTATTCAAAACTATTCAAAGTTCATATGTTCATATGTTCATATATTCTAACTGTTGAAATACAATAATAAATTCTGGTATGTTGAGGAATTGCAAACCAGTGCAGCCAGTCTTCCTTTTCTCCACTCTTTTCAACCCCCAATGCTTCCCACCCAGCTAGTCTCACACAGCCTCCCCAAAACAACCTGGGGAGTAACTGCCTCCAGGCCTCAGCTGCTAACACAATGCATGGGCGTCCCCTGCACTCCTCTCTCCTTGAGAAATTGTATTCCCCCATCTACCAGGAATTCTTCCTTCCCACTTTCCTGTTTCTAATCATCACTGCTTTCCAGGATCAACCATACACTTTAGGAGCATGTGGACCAAATGGACCTGTTCAATTCATCCCTGTGCTCCCAGGGTCTAGCTGTTGGAACAATGTGTATCCCATATCTATGGATGCTACACCTGGGGAGTTTGCCAACCGTAATGGAAAATAACTGCAAGAAAAAAAAAAAGGGACAGGTTTATTATTGCTGATTTGTCCCATGCAGTGAGGCCTGGGACAGTTGTTTCTATACAAAACATTTCCTTGTCATTCATCAAAGCACATGAGATAGCCACCATAGAACCACAAATGGTATTACCTTCATGAGTATTATAAGTGAACCAGAGTTGATGTGCAATGCACAAGGTGATTATTCAGTCACTGCATCATTTTATATATGAACCTGGTGGCCTTGGATTTGGGACTCTGCTGGATCATGGAACCATCCGCCTTTAGATGGGCATGATTGTGGTTGTTCAGTATAAACACACACATATCAGGGATTCTGGCTTGTAGCAGAGAATTGATAGAATGATGACTTTTGATTTTCATCGATCTATCGAGCATAATGAGTGCCTCCTTAGATATTAAGTGTGGTAGCATGGCTTTGGAAATATCTATCACTCATGTCCTAAGTACCAAATGACTACCAACTTTCCTGGTGGCACATAGCCACCATGACAAACCAACTCAATCATGCCCGCAAAGATGATAACACTTTGGATATTACTTGACCCAACTCAGGTGCCCTTTACATTGTCCATGTACACATTTGCTTACACATTGAGCACACATACAATTGTTGTACCAGGGCTGGTGGACATTTTCTTCCTTGGAGCAGTTGACAGATGGGTGCTATAGTCAACTGTGGCTAACTCAGGCTATGGTCCATGCATTCTCAGTATTTTGATCATCTTAGAAACATTTTTGATGTTTTGCAACTTATTCATTGAATCTTCAACATATTACGTGTGTACAAAGGCCTGGTGTGTGCTAGGTAGAGAAGTGGATTCAGGGCATCTGTTGAAGAGTAAAACAGATGCAGTTTTCTATATCTATGAAACTTAGGGCCTTGTGAGAGATGCAAATCAGGCAACAAGGAAATGCCAGCAGCAAATAGGAGCACACTATGTGTTCTACAGGAAGTGGTCTGTTTGCAGTCCTGCAATGAGCGACTTGGACCCCGGACTGATGGTCAATAGGTGCAGTTTACCAGTAGCATCAGACTTTTTTTGGTAAGATTTATTTATTTTTATTGCAAATCAGATATATATAGACAGAGGAGGAGAAACAGAGAGAAATATTTTCCATCCAGTGATTCACTGCCCAAGTGATCAAAAGGGTTGGTACAGCACCAATTCGAAGCCAGGAGCCAGGAGCTCTTCTGGGTCTCCCATGAGGGTTCAGGGTGCCAAGGCTTTGAGCTGTCCTAGACTGCTTTCCCAGGCCACAAGCAGGGAGCTTGATGGGAAGCAGGGCTGCCAGGATTAGAACCAGCACCCGTATGGGATCCTGGCATGTTCAAGGTGAAGACTTTAGCCACTAGGCCACAGCACTGGACCCATGGCATCAAACTTTTATATACCAAGGTTCATATAGGATAAAGGAGGAGTTATTGAGCTTATCTATGGAACCCATCAATTGTTTCTACACCCTAGTTTGGAACTCTTTGGCTTTGTATATACCACCAAGTGTTCTCATTCACATGCTATCCACTCAGTTGTTCTCATACAAATCATGTCCAGTCAGTTATACAAAAGGTATCCATTTGGTTGTTTTCATACGAATTCTTTCCAGTCAGTCACACAATGGCATCCATACAGTTGTTCTCATACAAATGTTATCCTATCAATTGTAATCCTGTGCCCGTTGACCTTCTAGGGTCACAACGTTCTTCTACAGTGGTCAGAACAACAGCAGAGACCAGAGGGCAAGAATGGTCAGTGGGAACCAAGGCAACCTGAACAATGACCCAATACAGCAGCTAGAGATGTTGGAACGGAGACCACTCAGATCTGAGGGGTGCAGGGTGACCAGAACTGTGGTGTTTTTTATGATGCTCCAGCTACCCAGGGACAATGCGACAGCCTGGTTTCAAGAAAAATTTAGAGGTTCAGACTGTGAGACCACCCAGCCTGGATTATTACCCTGAATGCTGGAGGGACAGATTACCTTGCTATCTTCCCTGAACAAGCATCATCTTCGTTCAAAGAACAAATCCTGGGAAATACTGGAGGAGGCCCAGGTGACACTCTGCCCAGAATCAAACACATTGAAATCATTGCATAGATAGATATAAAAAAATGGCAAAGTCAAATTGGGGATGACGCTCATTGAATGATGCGGATGATGCATCATAGATGAACAAGCAAACTTTTTAGTGAAGACTTCATATGAATTACTCCAAATTATGTAAGCCCGTATGTATTTACATAAAGTCATAATATTTTAAATAGCCAATCATACACTTAAAAAAAAAAGAAAAGAAAATGCGTGAGTTTTGACTTGGACATGTTGATCTTATATTCCAAGTACCTATAAACCTAATTGTGTGTAGCTGATAATTTCGCTCCTTTCTCCTCCTCCTTCCACAGTTTCTTCCTATTTCCCTTCTCTCTCTTTTATTTTCCATAGTCAATGACATTCATAGAAGGAATGGAAATGACTGCAGGCATCTTTTCTGGTATACAGTTACATGTTTCTGAATATGCTCATACCATCTTGTGCAGTCATCACAATAATTCTTGTCAAACAGGTATTATCTCCAACATAAAGCAGGATTGTGAAAAATAAGACCACGTGTTAGATATTACACAACAACTTAACAGAAGCTCTCACCCCACCCCTAACTGGCTCCCAACTTGAAGATGGGAGTTCTTCCTAAGCCTGCCTTACATTATCAGTCAGTAATGAGACAACTGAGGTCTCATTCCTGTAAATGCTCTGTTTTCATGTAGATATAGTCCGCTACTCAGAGGTTTGTGTTCCCAGGGTAATACCTTTCCTCCAGGGTCTCCTCACCTTGCATCAGGTCACCTTCCTATTAACAGGGGTGAGCCAGACTCTGACATTTCACCTGCTACTTGGGCACACATAAAGGCATCACATTTTTCCACCATTGAAAGGGATGAAAGAAAGTCAAAGCCTCTGTCGTGCTGAGGCTTACCACTGTTGGACCAAAGGGGTGGCTCACAGGGCAGGGATGAAGAAAGGGATGTGTCCCATGAAGAAGACATAAGTGGACAATGTGAATCAACCAATGCTCACAAAGCAACACTGCCTACTGTAGTATCTGCACTCAATGCCATTCTTTCTTTTTAAATTATCTAGGAGATGCAAGTGTATGTGAGAGAAGGAGAGAGAGGGAAAAAGAAGAAAGAAAAAAGAGAGCAACTCCAACCTGCTGGTTCACTCCTCAAACACCCTGAATAGCCTGGAGACCAAAGTAAAGAAGCTGGAATTCAGCCCAGGTCTTCCAGCTGGCTGGCAGGAACCCACCTTCCTGAGTCATCACTGATGCCTCCACAGGTCTGCAGTAGTGGGAAATGACAGGCAAAAGCCACAGGTGGACAGAATCAAAACCAGGCACAGTGATACAAGACAGGAGTGTCGTACCCAACAACTTTGCCACTAAGTCAAACACGTATAACATCTCATTGTAGTGATTTATTGTTTTTAAGGTCATCCTTATTATATATTTAAGCAGTGTGGCATAATGTTTTGATATACAAGGAGACTTGAAATGCTTGTGTAAGTGCATTTTTGCAGCAAAATAGACTTCTCTTTTAATGCTGTGTTTCATGAGTGTTTTGGATTCCTCCACAGACATAGGGAAATGATTAATATAGTTGAGCAAAGCGACTTATTCCATCAACCCATTTGGTGTAGGTGTGTGACAAGAGCACCTAGGATCTTCTTGTTTCACAAAACAACAGAACATGATGCAATATTATTCACTTTCCTCTCCAGTTATACACCTCAGTCTCCAGACTTGTTTCCACCTACCTACTTGCACCTTTGTTTACAAGACAAACAAGAATTGGATTCTCTAAGAACACAGACTTGGATTCTCTAAGAACCAGTTAGTCATGTGACGGTTGATGGGCTTGGTTTCTTGCAAAGGCCACTGCCTTGAAATTGAATAAGCAGATTACATAGCCAACTAGTCCTAGCCAAGAGGAAGTGACTTTCTCAAAGTCAGGAACCCCCGAAGGGTGGAGCTCTTATCTTCTGACTGTTGAGATTTTGGGCCTTCTCTATTTGGTCACTCATTCGTTGGCCGTACAGTGAGCAGACAGTGATTGGCAGACCCTCATCCTTGGTCATCGTTCTGCCATTCAGAACACTACATTCCAAAGAACCCGAACTCGTGGGACAGTTGCCGTGCAATCATGACATCATAGAATAGTCTGACAATTCCGTCTCACCATGTTGCGAGCTCAAGAGGAAGATGAAAATGAGGAACCTTTGGGGAAAATATCCTGTACTGCAGAGATCCGGGCAGCCTTCATCCTCTCTTCCTTCGTGTTCTTCATCACAGGACTCATGATCTTGTTCATTTGCAGGCTGCTCTGGAGAGTCTTCAGGAAATGGAGAACTATCAAGGGAACAGGAATTATCTTGGTAAGTCTCATTCCAGACCCCTTTCTGTGAGACCAGGTTTGACACACATTTGTGTTTGGCTAATGATTTAGGCTGCACTGGGTTGTTTTTTCTGTTTGTTTATTTGTTTTCAGACTGATAGAGCCACCTATGGCCTGGTGCCTGGAAAGGGTGGGCCTTAGAGCCACTGGCCACCATGCCAAAGTTCTCAAGTGCCAAGCTAGGCCTCCCACCCCTCTACAAAGCCCTCTACTATGAAAGCCTTTTCTGATTGACAGCGATGATGTATTCAAACTGGAAACTGCTCACTCTTCCAAGAGAGTTCATGTATGCCTCTGCTTTGAATGTTGACAAGATAGTCACTAGGTACTACAGGGCAGGTGAAAGGCAACAAGACATTCATGCCAAACACACTTGCATGAATCATTCATGCACAATGGATTTGTGCTGTCAACTTCCCAGTGATGCGCAAACACATCCAACCCAGTCATACATAGCTACATCCAGAAATCTGCACACATCCCACACACACCTGTGCTTACCCCAGGCATCCAAGATCAAGCTCTCAGATGCTACCAAGGGATTGTTGTATTTTCTTTTTTTGCCAGAGATCAAAGACAAGATTGATTTGTTATATCCTGTGGACTCAGCTTATGTTTCTATTCTGCAAGTATTTTTTCTGTGTCTGACATTTTATCCACACGTGGTTGTACCTCTTGAAATCTGCTTTGATCATCCCTTTTCACAATAAATATTGACGCAAAATGACAGGACTTAGTATGTCTTGGCAAAAATTTAAGGCTATTGACAATAGGGACTTTAGGTTTCTATTTGGAAAAAAGGAACCAAGGTTGAAAATCAAGGATCTGGTGGCTAAATGGGTTCATTCTGTCAGTGGCTATGTCTGCATGAAAGACTTGTCTCCAAATTAGGGGACCAAATCTGGGATGTTGATAATGAGTGAGGGAGTCTGGCAGATCTGGCCCTCTGGTTTCTGTCTTTTTAAAAATTTTGTTGTAGTGAACAACTGATGCCTAGATGTTTATATCTCTATTCCTCTGCTCCGGGACACGCTCCTTCTTCTCCACTTACGTTCGTTCTGATGTGATTGGAGAAATGTAGGAGCACGTTTGTCAATCCGTGTTAACAATGCATTTCTTTTAAGTCAAGACACACTTTCAATTTCAAATATCAAACAAAATGGCACAAAATTTTCAGTGGCACCTGAGTACCCGCAACCACACTGCTCTGCCTTTAAATCTTGGGAGAATTTGAGAAAAGCTGAGTGACTTTTCAATAATGCATTACATTTAATTAAATTCAGAGTGGTCTGTTTTGCTCCAAGTCTGTGGAACAATATCACTAATGTGGGTAACTGTGAAAAGTTCTTTTAAAAATTATTTTGAGAGTTATGGTTTCTCCTGAAGTATGCATCTTAATGGTTTGCCTCATCATGAGATAATTTGGTTATATCTTAGGGTCAAATTGTTAAGCTGTAGATGAAAATTTAATGAAATTTTAAATGTGTGTTTTAATGTGTGCTTAATAATATCACACTATTATTTCAGTTTTAGAATATTTGTTTGTTTTTTGTATTTAAAATGCACAGTGACAGAGGAGAGAGAGAGAAATAGAGAGAAAAATGATCTTCCATCCACTGGTTCACTCCCCAGATGTCTGCAACGGCCAGTTATCTGGAATCCTATCAAGTCTCCCCTGTGGGTTGCAGAAGCCCAAGTTCTTTCTCATTCTCTGATGCCTTCCAAAGCATATTGGTAGGGATTTGGATTGGAAGTGCAACAGCTAACACTTGAAGCAGCATGGGCTACAGAATGCCCATGTCACAAGTGGTGCCTAACCCATGGCACCACAGCACATGACATGAGAATTGGAAAAAATATATATATATATATATGTATTTATGAAGTCAGATATATAGAGAGGAAGGGGAACAGAGAGAAATATCTTCCATCCAATGAGTCTCACCCAATGTGGCTGCAATGGCTGGAGCTGTGCTAAAATGAAGGCAGGAGCCAGGGGCCTCTTCCAGGGCTCCCAAGCAGTTTCAGGGTACCAAGGCTTTGGGTCATCCTCAACTGCTTTTCCAGGCCACAAGCAAGAAGCCAAATAGGAAGCAGGGCCACTGGGATTAGAACCGAAGCCCATATGGGATCCTGGCACGTTCATGGCAAGTACTTTAGCTGCTGGGCTACCGTGCCAGGCCCCTGGGTATTTTTTTAAACCAATTTCCAGACATTATCTCAGAAATGCAATTGAGATACCACTTGCACTGGGGGCAGATCAAAGGGCAAGATGTGAATTCTGCCAAGAGTCATTTTTTTGATATATTTTTATTTTGAATTTTGAATTATGTGGTACAATTTTGTATAGGCTGGGATTCCTCCCTCAAACTCACACCCCCCCATCAGATTTTTCCCATTTTGTAACAATAGTGTAGTCCTTCATAAGGAATCATGATTCTATCAGTCTCTTATTTAAGTGTACCCTGACACTGTTGGTACAGACAGTGTCAGACAGTCCAGCATCCCATTGACTACACATGTCTAACAGTTTCATTGGGAATCTATCTTTCGTTTGAATGCTGGGATGCATGTTCCCAAGAGTCTTTTATTGAGAAAAATAATTAAATGACTTAGAAACCTTGATTCCATGTAAGGTCACCTTTCCTGTAGGTCAGGGGAGACCCTAAGTGGCCATTTCCTGTTGGCAGCTTCTTTGGTATCAGCTTGAGGCCCCACTGCTTAGTTCTCAAAAAGGATATTCAACTCCTAGAATTTTCTCACTGCTGGAGCCTTAGGGAGACCATGGGATGGCCCTTTCCCTTAACTTCCTTAATAATCTAACTTTGAGGGCCTGGCGCGATGACACAGTGGTTAAGGTCCTCACCTTGCACGCCCGGGATCCCATATGGGCGCCAGTTCTAATCCCGGCAGTCCCGCTTCCCATCCAGCTCCCTGCCTGTGGCCTGGGAAAGCAGTCTAGGACGGCCAAAGCCTTGGGCCCCTGCCCCCTTGTGGGAGACCAGGAAGAGGCTTCTGGCTTCAGATTGGCATAGCATAGGCCATTGCGCTCACTTGGGGAGTGAATCATTGGACAAAAGATCTTCCTCTCTGTCTCTCCTCTCTGTATATCTGACTTTCCAATAAAAAAATAAAAATAAATCTTTCAAAAAAAAATCTAACATTGAGCCAACCATTCTTATTTCATCTACCTCATAGATGACTACACATTTCAAATACAGTCAGTAAAGGTACTGTATAAATGCTATGAAGGGTTATAAATTCAGGAGGATCTGACACCAGAAAAGGAATAGAAAGCCACATACAATAACTACAACTTTTCCCTCTTCCTTCCCTATTTTTGTACTTTTTAAAATGGAGGTTAGTTGGCACTGGACTCTTCCTTCCCCTTCCCCCAAGCTCCTTCCCCTGCTTTCCGTTCTCCCTTCCAGTTTCACAATTTGTGTCTTACGTGAATTTTCCAAAGTTCATCACGCTGTTGCTGGAGTGTCTGCCAACCATGTAGGAAACTGTCAGTCGTTTTGTTCAGAGTTCAGTCATGTATCCCAGTGCCCGAATGTAGGTACAATGAGGATTAGATCTTCCTTATTCATGGACAGTACAAATAACAGTGAGAAAAGAGCCATTGACCATATCAGGTGCTTATGAACAATTAGCCTCTTACGGATAGTTGATCAATTAATTTTATCTCATGATCTTATTACATAAGATACAGGTAAGTATTGTTTTCATAGCTGAGTAGTATTCCATAGTTTCTTTATCCAGTCCTCCGTTAATGGGTATTTAGGTTGCTTCCATGTTCTCATGGTATTGCTGGGTCATATGGTAGTGGGTTTTTAATCGCCCAAGTGTTCTCCATGCTGACATCCATAGTGGTTGCACCAGCCTGCACTCCCACCAGCAGTGCAGTAGGGTTCGTTTTTCCCTGCAACCTTGCCAGCAGGTGTTGTTGGTAGTTTGCTATATGTGGACATTTCTTTCTGGCGTTAAGTGGAACCTCAGTGTTGTTTTTTCTTGAATTCCCCTTGTTGCCAGAGAGCTTGAGCATTTCTTTTCATGTGTCTGCTAGTCATTTGAATTTGTTCCTTTGTAAAGTGTCTGCCCATTTCCTGTGCCCATTACTTGACTGGTTTGCATGTTTTGATGTTATTGTTCTGCAGTTCTTTCTAACTTTTTGAAATTAGCCCTTTGTCTCCTGTGTAGGCTAGAAAGATTTTCTCCCATTTTGTTGGTTGCTGTTTTTATTTTGTTGATTGTTTCCTTTGCCGTGCAGAAACTTCTTAGCTTAATGTAGTTTCATTTGTTTATTTTGGTCTTGACTTCCTTTGCTTTTGATGATTTTTCTAGGAAGTCTATGCCTACACCTCTATCTTGCAGAGTATTTCCAACTTTTTCTTCCAAACGTTTGATGGTTTCTGAGTGTAGGTTTAGATCTTTTACCCATTTAGGTTTGATCTTTGGGTATGGTGAAAGGTGTGCATCTTGCTTTTTATTTCTGCAGGATTTTAGCTGATTGTCCAAACAGCATCTACTGAAAAGACCTTCCTTTTTCTTTTCATTGTAGAAAATTAGATAGTTGTGTATTTGTGGGTTCTCTTCTGGATTTTCTATCCTACTCCATTGATCTACCTCTCTGTTTCTGTTCTAGTACCAGGCTGTTTTGATAACTACCACTTTATAATAAGTTTAAAGATCTGGGATTATGGTTCTTCCCACTAGCTTCTTAGTCTTCAGGACAGGTCAGGCTATTCGTGGTTTTTGTATTTCCAGATGAACCTTTGGGTCCTTTATGGCCAGCTCTGTAAAGAATGTTCTTGATAGTTTGACTCACCAGGTTTTGGTTGAGTCCCTGTTTGGTCCAGGTTGTATCCATCTCCGCCAGCTCAGGCTGCAGGTTGCCATTGTGAGGGTTTGTTTTTTTTTTTTCCCGGATTACTTTCTTGCCTGTGTGAGTTGTTTTGTTTCTGCTTACTCTGGGGAGCTTTGGACACCTTTAGCTATGATTCTACACTTCCTGCTCTCTCCTCTGCTTAATTCTTTCCCTCTCTCTTTTCACACTCAGCTACACCAACCTTCTGCAGTTGACCATCTTCTTTGTCAGCCTTTCTTCTCTCCTAAAAAAAAAAAACCAAGCAGACTTAAATTATCCACCTGATGTTGATGTGCAGTCTGTTTTCTTTGCTGGTGAATGGATGGAAAGTGTGAGGACACTCCCAGAGAAGAAATAATTCCTCCTGACCCTGTCTTCACCGTGAGGTCTGTTGGAAGGGCCTGGGACTGAGCATAGCAAAGAAGATACACAAGTGAAAACTGCAAAAATCAGTATGCAGAAACTGTGCAGAAAGCAAGGAAATGCACTCCCACGGAAACTCATCCTGTGAGATCCTGAGGTAGCCAGCCCTTCAGGCTTCCCAGGGCACAGTAAGACACCATTGATTCTAGCTCATGCAGGAGGCTCCATCAATGGGAATATGAGAGGTCACTCTTCATGCGGTAACCCCACTCACTCTGCCAATCCTTCTCTCTTGCCTGTAGGAACTCTTCACATCAGGTACCATTGATAGCAACCCATTAAGAAGACTTTATTTTAGTGACCTATTCCGCGATCGTATAGAAATGCTGCTTTCTGCACAGACTATTGTGGGGCAAGTGCTGGTAAGTGCGTTCATGGCTAGCTAACCAACTTCATCTGCTTTCTTGGCTTTTCCTAACAGATGCTAAAGCCCAGCCTTCCTGGGCTTACCCCAGTCCCAACAGTGAGAAAAGGAGAGAAAGCACTTCACTTTTTTGATACATTCCCCAGATGGCTGCAATGACCAGGGTCAGTACAGCTGAAAGTCAGAAATCCAAACATTTTGGAGTCCTCACACAGGTGACAGGGTCCAAGACACCAGGGCCATCTTTTGCTGCCTTCGCAGGCACCTTAGCAGAGAGCTGCCTAGGATGTTCTCATGTGATGTGTCAGCATCACGGACCATGGTTTAGCCCTCTTCATCACCATGCCAGTCCCTTAACTTTTAATTCCTTGTTTCTGTGATCTTTTAGAAGTCCCCTCATAGGTGAGACTATGCTTTACTTATATTTTTCACTTTTTCATTATTATCATCATTTTATGATACAGTTCCATAAGCCCTGGGATTTCCCTTACCTCTCCATAAATCCTCCATTCCCCACTGATTTCCCCTATATTATTACTATAGTATAGTTCTTCATAGAGTCGTAAGTCCATCATTGTGGGCATGGACAATGGCAGTAAGTCCAGTATCCTGTTGTCAAGATGTATTTAACAGTTTCATTGGGAAACCATCTTTAATCTGGAAGTAGAGATGTATACTGCATTGTATCCTCATATCTGGATGTGATAATCTCCATTAGGTAGTAGCTATACATACCCTTAGATGAAAAAAAAAAAACAACAAAACAAAATCAACAGGAAGAAAAATAGAAACTTACAACACCATGAAGTTAAATAACGTGCTACTGAATGACTGATGTGTCACTGAAGAAATGAAAAAGAAAATGAAAAAACCTTGAAGAAATTGCTGCTGCTGTATGACGTATGAGACAGTGAAGAATTCAATGAGAGAAAAATGTTTTGAAGAATGAAACTGAAAATCATTCTTTTTATGATCAAAAGACTAGCAGGAAATGTTATACTATTTGCACAGATTGTTTTGGTTTCATTGTTACCTTTTATGCTTTGGTCACTTCTGGATCATTGCATTGCCCTTTTAGGCACACAGTCTAATATTCAACTATAAACCTGAAAGCATGCATGATGAAAATTGAATTTTGTCTTCTCTCCAATTCCAAAAGCAAGCAGAGTTTCTTTCTTTCAAGCTGCAAATCCTTTGCAACATTGTCAAATGTTTTTTGATCTACAAAACATAAAATTGGAAATAAAGCAATTCATTATCCCCCGGTGACCATTCTTCATAGTGAGTAATAGAATGACTGGTTGATGGAAGTAGTGGAGTAAAATTAGATTTGAATTCAGTCAGCTCATTGATTTGTCTGCAAACAGAGACACAGCCTAGAGGAAGAGGAGGGAACTGGATGTCCTAAAGCTTGTCCGGGTTCTGTAACTCCAACTTTCCCAGGAGTTGTAACCTAAGACAACTCCTGCTGGGGACGCCTCTGCCAGTTTTCCATCCCCTCTGCTTTATCACCACGTGTTTTATCTAAGAAAGTTACTGTCGGGCCCGGCGCGGTGGCGCAAGTGGTTAAAGGTCCTCGCCTTGCACGCCCGGGATCCCATATGGGCGCCAGTTCTAATCCCGGCAGCCCTGCTTCCCTTCCAGCTCCCTGCCTGTGGCATGGGAAAGCAGTCCAGGACGGCCCAAAGCTTTGGGAACCTGCACCCGCGTGGGAGACCCGGAAGAGGCTCCTGGCTTCAGATCGGCATAGTATCGGCCCGTTGCGCTCACTTGGGGAGTGAATCATCGGACGGAAGATCTTCCTCTCTGTCTCTCCTCTCTGTATATACGCCTTTCCAATGAAAAAATAATAAAAATAAATCTTTAAAAAAAAAAAAAAGAAAGTTACTGTCATCACCTCCTTTTGGCCAAGGAAGCAACTCCGATATAGACAAGGAATAACACAGAAAACATAAACTAGAAATGAAACTATCCTGTATTAATTTCAAGGGGATCAATAAAATGTGAAAGTATCAACATAATATATCATTATATGATTAAGTGTACAGTATATCTGTGCCTAGCACTTTTGCTTTTATTTAAAAATATTACTATAAATATATTGATATTTATTAACATTTCGTAAATAGGATAACTCAGTGATTATATTCATAAACATGAGAGCACTAGTATTGATATTGAACAGTCTATCATCCTGGCAATCAGAAATATTCATAAAAAGATGTATTTGTTGAAAGCCTTCCTTTCATTTGATGGATTATGCATATTTTTACTAATCATGGAAAATCAGCAGCTTATAAAATACTATGTTGCTTTAATCAATTTTGTCTTACAATTATAATTACTATCCAACCCAGAGAAAATTTATAAAATAATAGTTACAGACAGTTATCAGGAACTTTAGATTCCCTTTTAGTTTCTTGCCCCTCTACTGAGATTTCAAGCCTGTTCCCCAATTCTTCATTTGACTACCATTTGTTGCAAGTGTGTTAAGCAGTGATTGCTAGTTCAATGTGATATTTTACATTATAACCAGGATGATCACATGGCCAAGCTTTTTTGGGTGTTCTAGTTTTGTTGTGAATAAATCCTCTTGCATTTTTGAGGTGTATATATCTGTACAATAAGTAACACAAATGGACTTCAAAACATTTGAGAAAAATCAATTATATAATTGTATATTTATGTAATTATCTATAATTACATAATTATAGATAATTATCTATATCTATGATAATGTAGTATAATTAGAATCTATATTATATCTATATCATAATATAGTGTAATTATAATTTACCTAGGTATAGATATAGATATATGATATATAATTATAGATTTGCTTGAATGTGTATGTGCAGACTTCATATACCTATATGTGTGTGTAATTATTATCATTTTTCCTTTTAAACAGTATCCATGTTTTTTCTACTTAACATGCTTTGTTTCTTTTTTTTTTGATAAGATTTCTTTTTTAAAAAGGCAGATTTACAGAGAGGAAGATCTTCCATCTGCTGGCTCCCCGAATGGCCACAAAAGCTGGAGTTGAGCCAGTCCCAAGCCAGGATCCAGGACCTTCTTCTGGATCTCACACATGAGTGCAGGATCCCAAAGGATTTGGGTCATCCTCCACTATTTTCCCAGGCCACAAGCAGGGAACTAGATCAAAAGTACAGCTGCCAGGACGTGAACTAGAGCCTGTATGGAATTGCAGCACTTACAAGTCAATTGAGCAACTGCACTGCATTTCTCTTATTTCCATTCTCCAGTTTTAATGAGTGATACTACTGTGCCCCATGATACACCAGTGTTAAAATCACTTCCTTTCATTTTATCTGACATTCCACCCAAAGCTCAGGGACAATGGTTGAATCGGTCTTCAAAGATGTTTTGGTAAGTGATTCCCAAAAGACATGTTTCATCTTTACAAGCAGTCAGGGCAAAGTTCTGGACCAAGGGAGAAGAGGTAGATAAGCAATAAACTCAATCCTTCTTGTAAAAGCCTGTTCTTGAAAAGAAACCTCCTGAAGGCATAGGTGTAATCGGCATAGCAGCAGCTCCTGTTGTCTCCTTGCACCCTCTGCATCTCACCAGCACTGGTGTCCTAGGCCTGAGCCATCTCAAGTTCTGCACTTTCTCCTAGTCAAGGGTCCTAGTGTTGCAAGCACCCAACAGTTCAACACCCCACTACCAACCTACATGAACTCCTTCCCCAGGCATCAGCAAACAAAATCTTCAAGGTGAAAGCAGCTGGTCAGCAAGGGCCACAGGAACAAGGGAAATGGCCATCCTTGAGAATGCCAGACAAGCCACCCAGGCTGATCTCCAGGTGTGACTTTTCAGTGCAGCACTGAGTTGTACCCAATGACTGCTTGGCATTTATTAATTGGCCACCTTTCCATGACTTCCCTGTATCTGTGATGTGAGGGATGTCTCTTTGCATCACCGTGTTGGTGAACCTGTTGATTACTGCATGTTCAGCTTCATCTGGCTGCCTTTCTTGACTCTGGTTGAGCTTCCCCTGGGGCAGCTCTGCCCAGTTGCTGGTGGTAGTATTCCTTGCCACTCCCCTGGATTCAGGATGATCAAGGTCCCTCTGCCATTGAGCAGCAAGGAAGCAGTTATTGCAAAGCATCTGCTGCATGCATCATCGGCCACCTTCTCACAGCCTTGTCTTCAGAATAGTTGTCTTGGTTGGAGTCATGTTTCAAGCTTTGTGAACCAAAACGGATCAAATTTTTTTTAGAGCCTTTTACCAACCGTTTCTCAAAGTCTCATAGAATTTTACAAGTAACATTCTTATTTTCAGTCATGCCTAATTCATTTTCTAAATTGTTTTACATTTTAACTTTGATTTCTCCTTTGAGAGTCATGATCTATGTCTTAGAGGAATGTTGCATATTTTTATGATTTTCCCCTTCTCTTTGGAGGAGGACTATTCGTTCTACTTCATCAGGAATGTGTGGTTTGCAAATAACTGCTTTTACGATTTTTACTTTATTGAATTGAGGAAGAAGTGTTTGTTCTCTTATGTGATCAATTTTTTTTAAACCACAGTTTACTGGATGTATATTCACTGTTGATATGCAGGCAGCACTGACTGCTTTATTTATTTTCTGTGTCCTCCATTATTTGATGAATGACTGAAGGGGTCATGTCAAACACCTTTATTTATGATTTGTCTTTTTTAGTATCTTTCATTTCCCATGGAATGCTGTGTTCCTATGTGGCAGCAATCACTGCATTTAGTTGCCTTTGAGTCTTCTCTGTTGTTCCCTTTGCCAAAGCAAATTATCGTTTCCACTGCTTTTTGTTGGAATGTCCAACACAGCATGGACTCCCCTGCTTCCATTTTATTAGTGCTTGACTAGTATGCCGTTGGCCAACTTTTTTCCATATTGTATTCTTTCATGTGTGTCTGTTATAAATGTCATGAAGCTGGATTTTATTCTTGCATTGATTTAAGAATACATTCACTTTTTATTTACCAAGGAAATTTAATCATGCCTCTTGATGATGATCCATTATATTGCTATTTATAATACTTAAAATTTAATTTCCTGCATAATGAGATATCTAAATCTCAGTGGCGTAGACAGAATTGTAGATGGGCAGTCAGAGGACAAGGAAACACAATGAGTATCAGTTCCACTACTGAGCCTCTGTGTGGTCTCTTTTTTTTTAGAGATTTATTTTTATTATTTTTTATTGGAAAGGCGTATATACAGAGAGGAGAGACAGAGAGGAAGATCTTCCATCCGATGATTCACTCCCCAAGTGAGCACAACAGTAGATGCTATGCCAATCCCAAGCCAGGAGCCTCTTCCGGGTCTCCCACGCGGGTGCAGGGTCCCAAAGCTTTGGGCCGTCCTCGACTGCTTTCCCGGGCCACAGGCAGGGAGCTGGAAGGGAAGTGGGGCTGCCGGGATAGAACCAGCGCCCATATGGGATCCCGGGCGTGCAAGGAGAGGACCTTAGCCACTGTGCCACCGCGCCGGGCCCATGTGTGGTCTCTTATTTTACTGAAGAAACCATGAGTCCTCCCTCCACTTCTCCTTCAGGAAAGCTTAATTATTGTAACCTGGATTTCATTCATAACCTTTAGTGGAATGTTAATTTCCCTGTCACATTCCTTCCACACTTGGTCCCGTATGTCTCTGTTGTCCCTCTCTGCATGGCTTGTTTGGCATGACCCCTCTCCCTCAGATGTCACCAGAAGCACTAGGAGACCCATGGAAACATTTAATCTGATCTGTTTACCTCGTTCGTGGGAGGCCCTTTCATGTATTTCCACTGCCTAATCTTCATGATTTTTTGCATTTTTCAATTGACTGGCAGTTTCTCAACATCTGTGAATACCCACAAGTTGAGGTTTAGATTTGCAGTGGTGTAAAACATCTGGCCTCCAGGCTGTGTAACAGCAGTAAAGCCATTTGGTCCAGACCTGCCAAAGCAGCCGCAGATGGGACTCCAATGCACTTATTATCGCAGGGTAATTTCTAAGTTGATCCTTATGTAATGAACCTTAGCAGAAAGAAAATATTCCCCTTCTCAACTTCATCCCCCACAATATCACTTATGAGTAGTTTCTCGTCCAAGGCCTCCCTGACTGATTATCCACTAACTTAATGGGAATTCTTTGCAACTTTTCCTGTAGAGATCACAGCCTCAGTGAAGTTTCTCTGCTCAAAAATAAACATGAGGGGTGTTGCTGGGACCAGCAACCCCACACACCAGGCTTTCTCTTGGTGAGATCTCATGGCTGATTTTCTCCACTGATATTCCAGGGTTTCTCTGAGAAACAGAAGCTGCTGCTGTTGCTAACCAGAGGTTCCTTTCCAGGAGTTTCTTGGCTTCAGGGTGGCTCCTGCAGGCTGCTGTTTGCTGAAGGACTCCATTCTCCCATCCACAGCCTCTGCAGCTCAGAGGGCATCTCCAACCCCAGGAACATCTGTGGGTCCTCACACAATGGGCTTCCATTTCTGCCTAATTCCTTACACAGGGCTCACAAGCAACAAGCTCTGATTGTCCTCTGTTGACTTATGAAATGCTTTTTCTGTTAATTCGTATTCCTTGATGATTTTCTATAGCATGACATAAGGACTCCTGAGTTTCAGTAAAACTAAACTTTTCTTCTTTAGCTTATGGTTGTTGTTGTCGTTCATCTCCTTGGTTTATAGAGTAAACACCTGACATGCTACCCCTTGGCAGATCTGTTGAAGTGTGATATATACTTGCATCTCTTTCTGGATTTAGGAAGAAAAGGGAAAAGAAATTTCATAAGTAGAAATTCAAAAGATTTAATGAAAAGCAATTAATAATGATCAATGTATTAAATATAAGGAAATCAATGCATTAGGTATCAATGTATAAGAATAAGATAAGCAGGAGTAAGTGGCAGATGTGTAATTGCCTACAGCTAACCTTAGCAGTCATGGAGCCTGCAATGATTTTCCTGCAAAGCAAGAAGGCTTTAAGTGGCGTTTTTTTAGATGACAGCCTGCTAGCCCTGTTTATGCTCCAGACCAGATAAGTGGACATATTGCAAGGACTGATTGTCTTCTTCTCATATGTAGCACTTTCTCTCCTGTCAAAATTCTCCCCTTTAGGGTGGATCTGTTAGGGATATTTCCTCCATAGTATCTTGGGCAAGTCAAACCTAGGATCTTTATGCAGCATTCTCCATTGTCTAGCAAGTAATAAAGGACATAATGCATGGATAAGCACTGAATAAATGTTTGGTAAGCTCCAGGAGAACAAAGGAAAAATTCTAAAATGTATGGGAGTTATAACTGCATAAATAAACTAGGCCCATGTTTCATTTATTCAGTGATTGGTAGAAGTCTCGTATATTTTCCCCAAGTAATGACTGAATAAATCTTCACATGTAAATAAACCACTACATATTCGCAGGCCAGGTAAAAAGAGAAAATGCAAGTCCTTTTCCTCCACCACTGCAGTAACAATGTGCACGCTACAAGAAAAAAAAAAGTACTGTTGTTTTATTTGTTCATGTCAGTGAAATGAAGTACACGTGTCTCTTTTTGTGCTTCCAGATGATCCTTGTCTTTGTGCTAAGCATTGGGTCTCTTATCATCTATTTCATCAATTCTACCGAGTGAGTACAATCCCCAGTCTCTTTCCTCACCCTCTCAGTCACTTGCTCAGCTAACTTCAAGGTTTTTACTATAAGAAAAACACACACACATGCTCTTAAATGATGCTAGGTGCTCAGCTTCCCCAGTAAGCACTCAGCCTCACTTTGCAAGAGAGGTGTGTTTCTCCTGCGTACTGCCATCTTCCTTACAGAAGGGTGGAAGTGGTGACCACTCTTAGGTTAAGAGGAGATTGAAAGAAATAGATAGCAGCTTTTAGGATAGGTAAAGGGTTTTATTAATCAGAGGAGAGAGTCTGTCGGACTGCTCCCTGGTAAGAGATTGCCTGGGAACCATTTTCACTTGTTGGAGTGACCACCTGAGGGAAATGGCAGCCCAAGATATACAGCACTGGGGCTTTTTAAGTCTTAGGCTCAAGGGATGGGGGAAGGTGGCAGCTCCTCTGTTTTTGCGTGTTTGTGACATGTAGCAGGGTGCTCATCATGGCTATTTCTTCTGTGCAGAAACAAAGCTAGGGTGTTCTTCCACACAGAAATGAACTTAGGGTGACTCTGCACTCCAGACATTTTAGGATGAGCGTGTCCATTTTCACCTCCGCAGGATGATGGAGTCACTTCTGCTCTGCACAACCTAACAACCTCAGATTTGCTCTAGGGCTTCCACCACTCTGAGCCCCCAACTCTCATATGTGCACCTGAACCCGTTAACATCTTCAAATACCTTGGGTATCAAAGCAGAAGTTCTGTAGCAGCTTCTAGGATTTCTTAGAGGTTTCCAAAACTTTTAAAGATTTTGGAAAGGAAAATGCTAACTCACGCACTTGGGATAAACCCATAGATTGTTGTCTGCTCCTGTTGAAATCACTCTCCCTTTCAATGGCTAGATTATTCTTTTTTCACAAACCCCAGTCCGATTGCACTGCATTCCTCCTCTCTGGTAATTATACTGGACTTCCAGCCAAACGGAAAGGGTACAACAATTAAAATATCCTAAACCAAGAAGAGCCACATAATTTCTCAGGGTCCAAATATCATTGATACAATTTAAATAGAACCATGAGCACTAGGAAAGAGATGGCACCTGATTCTCCCATTATTTTTTAGTCCTCTGGAATGTCCAATCATTTGCATTTATCTAGAATTCTACTCCCAAGAGAAAAGCAATTTCCTTGGGATGTGAACATTAGTGTGTGGACTGACCATTCATGAAAGATAAATAGAAAATCATCAGTTTTATCCTTTTTATTTGGTGTTATAGAGCCATAGTTTTATAATATTCATCTTCATAAATCTGTCCTTGTTTCTTTGGCAGCCCTGTAAGAAGCTGTTCTTCATACCAAGACAAAACCATCCCTTTTGATTTGATTATCAATGCCTTCTTCAGTTTCTATTTTGGATTGAGAGTAAGTACCCATCAGATGTGGGAATGAACCCAAAACCACAGTGCAACAGATATCTGTTACATTTTCAGGATGTACAGATGGGGAGTCTATGCTCTGAACTGTGAAACAGACAAAAAGAAAGAAAATCTATCCTATAGTTGGAACTACAAGCCGGGCCAAAGAATCCAATGCAATTGAGAATGATTTCCTTGTTAAATATCATCACCCAATCATCATGTCTACCTTATCGGTTGACATCTATCACTGAGAAAGCTTTAACAATAATTAGCAGTTGGCAGAATTAACAAATATCAGAAGAAGAGATTTCCTTTGCTCCATTAGTGATATGTTGCACCATGTAACCCTATATAGTGTTTTTGTACCTTTGCTTCATTTTGCAACCCACACTTACTAAATAGTTCTATTATCCCATAGCTGTTTATTAAATCCTGATTCTAGACCTACATTTACCCATTCCAAGTTTCTAGAAGACTGTATTTACACAGTGTACACACGTACACACCCACACTCACACAACAGTACAAAAACTGTGCAAAAATGAAATTGAATTACCACAAAAATTTTGCAGTTCATCCAGAATTTTCAAAATATGGCTTCCAAAAGCATTTTGGAGTACCTCTCTGTATTTGCATGTGCATAAAATCTGCTTAATATATATCCATGTATTATTAATATGTACAAATATATGACACAAATATATTTCATTAAATTCATGTGAAACAGAATTATAGCACAGGTTTAAACGTTTTAGTATTCAACATCTTGAAATCCATGCATATATGTATCTTTACAAGTCAATAAAATTTCTTTTTTTAGAAGAAAGTTTTGACTTGAAAGTCAGAGTTACAAAGACAGAGAGAGGGAGAGACAGAAAGAGCTCCACTTGCTTGTTCACTCCCCAAATGCCAGCAACAGCAAAAGCTGGGCTGATCCGAAGCAGGATCCAGGAGCATCTCTCCCACATGTGCCCATGACTTTGGTTCTTCTCCACTGCTTTCTCATGTCATAAGAAGGGGGCGGGATCAGAAAATGGAGCAGCCAGGATTTAAACTAGTGCCCATATGCAATGTCAACTCTTATAGGTAGAAGACTAGCCTAATATGCCACTATACTTGTGTGGTCGATAAAATTTCTTATTATGAAAAAAGTAAGCATGGATTTCAACTTTTTCTGTACCAATAGACTTATCATTTAATTCAATTTTTTCACAATTCTCTTTAAAGTACTCTCATGTACATGTCTACAACTTTCCTTTAACACCTATTCAGAACGTACTTTTCATCAGAATCTCATTTTGATAGCAGCCTGTCATTTTCTGGAAATGCTTGTTTAACCTCATTAGGGAAGTTCATAAATGTATGTCCTTCCAGCCAAGCTGCTCAGAAATTGTACTTTGACACTGGGGTTTATCCTAACTTACATCTAAACCATGGTGCTCACCAAGAGGGGCTACTGATATATCTACTTTTGTACACAGTTCACTTCCAGGAAGGTCCAGAGAGAAGTGCTAGTGTCAAGACCTAGTCAGTTAAAAAAAAAAGTCTGTGTGTTCCTTTGGTGCGTTCCCTTCAAAGTACAGCCTTTATAACTACATAGACATTGGCAGATCTGTGTGATGCATGTAGCATTGTATACCTGTGAAACAGAATGAGATCAAAACCTGAATGCATGAATGAAAGGTGGCTGAATGATGTCATCACTTATGCTCACTTTAAAATTCTTGAAGATAAGGGAGTTTGAATATTCTCTTTCCCTTCCATAGTTTTTAGCAGCTGATGACAAGATCAAGTTCTGGCTGGAGATGAATTCCATTGTAGACATTTTTACCATCCCACCAACATTTATTTCTTATTATTTGAAGAGCAATTGGCTAGGTGAGTGTTTTGTGGCTACTAAGTGATAATACCTATAAAATATTTCAACAATCTTTGATTTTTTTTTTCAATACTTAAGTGCCAAGAAAAAACTCCCCAACCTTGCTTGGGTAGTTTTGTCATATATTTGTAGAAACAACTCTAAAGACCAAACCCTATTCCTGGTAGACTCTAGGTGGCCAACCGTAGTTGTTGGGCTGAGTGTATACCCAACCTGTGAAGAAAGACCCCCAAAAGTTGCCTTTACGAGGCATCTTCATGCTGGAATCCCCAAAATGCTGGAAGACGTGAGAAGGCACTCTTGGCCTTTCAAAGCTCATTGCCATGTTCAGACCAGTATGACATGTTTGAGAATTAGGCAGTTGGTTGTTCTGTCTTCAAGACTGATGTGTTGCCAGTACTTGGGTACTATGCAGCCTTGAACAGTTTACATGCAACTTTATGTTATTATTTATTACTTGAAAAAGGCCTTTCCATAGTTTATGACCAAACTACCTAGAGCTAAATGCAACACAAACCTGAAGAAACATACCGTAGAGATTGCAAAATCAGGGGTTGAAGTGATTTATGGAAAATGTGTTAAGTTGAATAGAGCAAGATGAACAGTGCTGCTTTTGTGTTCTGTGCTCTGGGTTCACTCCACCTCTCCATGAGCATAAACACTCTTGTAATTCTCATTTGAAATTAAGGAGATTGCCTGAAATGGTAAGGATTCTGACCAGGATTTGAATTGTGTGGCTCAAATGGTTAAATCTATAATACTGTATTTGAGCATGTCAGGGCTCAAAGTACTGTGTGCCATCCCAATTGTGATGTAATTCAGCATGTACTGGATGACCCTTTTGACAACTTTCTCATTTTCATTGCCTTGTAGGTCTAAGATTCCTACGAGCACTGCGACTACTAGAACTGCCTCAAATCCTGCAAATTCTACAAGCCATCAGGACCAGGTAAATGCTAAACCTGCTTCACTGCTAGTTGCTAAGAATTTGAAAATGTGAGGACTCAATCTTCAGATCAACACATTTGATATCAGAATTTCAGTGCAGAAGTTATGAAATCTTTCTGTTCTCAAACTACTTCTCATTTACTTTCTCTATGTTTTATTGCACATACGTTGGATGGAAACTTTGAAATTCTCTTTGTTCTTTGCCTTTAAAACAACACACCTATTTACTTTTAGTTTAAAAGGTACAATGACAGAAAGATGGAGAGGCATATAGAGAGACCTTCCACTCATTAGTTCACTTGACTGATGTTTGCAGGAGCCAGGAACTCCATCCGAGTTCCCCTATGGGTGACTGGAACTGACACACTGGTGCAATCATTTATTGCCTCCCAAGCACAGTAATGGAGAGCTGGATTTATATAAGCAAAGTGCCTAAGATTTGAGCCAGCACTTTAATAGGTATTTATGCATTTCAAATAGCAGTTTAATCCAGTGCATCACAATGCCCCCTCCAATTGATTTTTAAAATGAGAGTGTGTGGAGGCCAGTGCTACCTGCTCAACTGGCTAACCCTCTGCCTACAAGCATCAAGATCTCCTATTGGTTCATGTCTCAGCTACTCCACTTCTAATCCAGCTCCTTGCTTATTACCTGGGAAAGCAGCAAAAGATGCCCCAAATTTGGAAACCCTGAACCAGCATGAGAGACCTCGTAGGCTCTGGCTCCTGGCTTCAGATCAGCTCAACTCTGGTTATTGCAGCCAATTTGGGGAGTGAAGCAGCAGATGGAAAAACTTTCTCTCTGTATCTCTCTCTATGGATCTGTCTTTTCAGTAAAAATAAATTAACCTGTAAGAAAAAGAGTACAATATATAAGCCCATATCGATCTTTGTTCTGTGTCCCTGCACCAGACATTCATGCATACACATACACAGTTACATACAAATGAAATCATTTCAAAGGTTTTGGATCTACATATTGTTTTTCATAAATCATGCCCATCCTGGCTAAGTAAAATAAATCTTTTATCATCTTAGAAGTATAGGGCCTGGCTCTGGGTATAAGCATTGTGTTGTCCATTATTATCACTGAACTATTCTCTACACATAGGGCTAACCATGTATCTCCCTAAGCAACAAAAATTCAAAGTATTTTTTAAATTATGATTTATTATATATACTTAATTATGTAATGTATCATATATAAAATACATAAAATTTTTGTAATATTGAAATATAATATTTTGAAGTTTTAAGCCAGATCATGTATCACTTAAAAATCTCCAATGCCTATACTTTCTCAATAGAAATGGCACATAATATTGGCCAGGTGGATTTCACTGCCATGTACCAGAAGGTTATGGGGAATCCTGGGAGGGGAAAGGCTGCACTTGTGTGACAGGTGGCCCTGGCTGAAAAACACAAAGTTTCCAGCTGAGCTCCAAGGTTTGTTGGGAAATAGGAGAGCCTCCGCCTATTGCTCCTTTTTCAACAACCTTTCAGTGGTTTCCAAAAATGTGAGCAAACTCACATCCCTGTGACTTACCTTAAACTTCACTTTGCCAGTCTACACTCAGAACCCCTTGCATAATGTGTTTTGCACCAAATGTTTAGACAACATTCCGACCTATTAAATCCATCTTACATGGGTACACCTGGCAGTACATCATTAAAAGCTTTAATATCAAGCTAACAAACGTCACCACAAAATCCAAACTTTGGAAGGAGTGTTTGTGGCCAGGGGGTTTCAGTCTGTGTTTCTCAAACTCTGTAATATGAGCACGAATGAAGTAGAAGCAGTTGTGTAGTGCAGGATGCCTAGACTGGGCTGTTGCCAGGTGTGAGAGAGATCACACTGACCCCAAGTGTAGGATGTTAGGAGGATTCTTTATTTCCCAAGCTTGGTGGCAGCAGCTCCCACTACACTCCATAGGCTGCTTCATCCAGTTGCAGAAGTCAGGGGTTTTAAGCTCTCATCTTCCAATCAGATTGAGAGTCATGCAATACAAAGTTTCAGGCAGGAAGGGAGTTACCAGAGACCAAAGTTACAGTTAACTAGCCTAAGGTAGCACAACAGGTTGCAGGAGGGGCCAGGTGCACAGAGCCTCCGAAGAAATTCCCACATGGTCAGGTGTGATGGTGCGAAAGGCAGGAGCAGGGTGCACTTTTTCACCTTCAATTAACTTGAATGTTGGGAGGGGATGTAGGAAGGGTGGAGTGCGGTTCTGTACACTGTCCACTGTCAAGCAGGAGTAAGCCATCAATGGTGATGCCCCATTATGGGGCAGGTCCTAGGCTTCTGTGTTTGTCATTTGCTCCCAGGTAAGGCCATCTATTCTTGTCCATGATGCCCACTTGAAGTAACAAGATCATAGAGGATGAGATGTTTGTGCTGCCCTAGAGCCCGTCCTACCAGAGGAAACCTGGGAGCTTCTTGTCTTTTTCTCTTTTTTTGTAGCCATTCAGTGAAGTTTGCCAAGCTGCTTTCAATAGTTCTAAGCACCTGGTTCACAGCTGCAGGATTTATTCACCTGGTAAGCATCTGGTCACAGTCCCTGTCATCCTTGCAGAGTCCTTGCAGAATTCTTTTTTCCACCCCTTTCCAACCCAGTATGAGGTTGCTCTCCACACCCACATTTCTCCCAAGCATGTGGCTCGTACAGGCAACAAGCCTCAGTTTCCTCCCTCTTTCCATGTCCAAAGCCTGCTCTTGGGGAAAGGCCTCATCGATTCCAGTGGTAGATGCAAGAGGTAAAACACATCACTCTGTCTCATGGTGAACAGCAATAGGTCCTGGGTTACTTGCCTTCTTTCTCTAACAAGGCAAAAAAGAATGAAATCAGTCTGAGTATTTCAAACTCACACAAAATGGACAGTTTTAGGGGAAGCTGCCACTGCAAAAGGGGCTCTGTTGAAACTAGCTGCTCAGGACACGAATCTGCACACTGAGGTGCCTCCTTAATTTATAGGAAAAGCTGTCACTTAGGATGAGGGCACCAAGGGCACAGCATGGTAAATGATGGTTGGCAGCAGGTCAGAAATCCCTGGGGCTAGACTGAGGACAGTGGCTGCCATCCAAAAATACAAAAACCGAAGAGGGATAGTAAAAGCCTGCAGAGGATTTGAGAGAAATAAAGCAGAGAATGGAGCAGAAGTCTTTAAGAGACTAAGAGAAATAGGGGGTTCTTGCCAGCTGTTCTATTCTCCAAATGGCCAGAATAACCCAAGCCTGGAATGGGTTGAAACTAGGAATTGAGAGCTTGGAATTTGGAATCCAATTGAATCTTCTATATGAGACGCAGAGACCCAATTATATGGGCCATCAGCTGCTGCCTCCAGAGTCTGCAGAAACAGGAAGTGGAGTTGAGAGAAAGAGTCATCACTCCCCAATGCAGCACTTTCATCATTAAGCCAACACCTGTCCCAAGTTGAATCTTTCAAACTTGATGAAGACAATAGCAATTAAATAGAAAAAAAAAACTGTTTAAAAAACCATCTTATTAATTAATCGGGAAAAATATTATGGGGGTGAGGGCAATTGGCACAGCTGGTAAGTCCACATTTGGGACACGCTCATCCTGCTTCCAAGGCTTCGTGCTAATGCACTCCCTGGTTGGCAGCTGGTGAGGCTTCACGCGGTTGCAGACTCTTTCACGGGAGACCCAGATTGAGTTTTAGACTTTAGCTTTGGGCCAGCTTGGTCTCATCTATTGTTGACATTTGAAGAGTAAGCCAATGGTTAAAAACTCTTTTGTCTCTGCCTCCCTGCTTTTCCAATAAACACAAATAGTAAATGCTTCAACCTTGGAAAAAGGAAACAGATATCAAAGCAAACTGCTTTATGAACATTCTAAAAATATGAAAATAGACCCATCCCTCCTCAGTACTCAAACAGGAGAGAAATTGTTTCAAAAGTAGTGACACAGTAGTCCCATCAAGTCCCTGGAGCCGTGAGCAAGCCATGACCATCAGTGCTCCTCGTCAGACCCATACCGATCATAGAATGCTAAAGCGTGAGCATGGGGGCACTCCTGTGGCTTTTCCCTGTAATCCCAACATGAGGCCTACATGTTTAGTGTGGCCTACAGGCATTTCATGTTTTTATTTTCTACTTTCCTCTTTTGTTATTAGTTGTCTATTTGTATGAAATGTTGACATGGAAGTTTGAGTTTCTGGATTCTTTGGGAAAGCAGAAGATTCAGGGACCCCCGCTTCCCCAACACCATCACCTGTCCCGGCTGGAAGCAGCGAGTGCTCTTGGATTGGGTAGTCATTCAGTCCCCTGGCGGTTTACTGTTGGCTTCTCCCTGTCAGCCAAGGGAGGTGAGCGAAGACATGCAATCGCTGTCCTCTCAGTCAATGCAGTATTACCAGTGCCCATATTCTTAACCTCAGTCTTAAAAAGTACGAACTTCTTCAAGTGGTGCTTTGCTTTAAAAAAGTGACCAGATAGCTGAGCAAACTACATGATTACTTTTTTTATTCCTGCCATTAACAAAACAACAAAAAACCTGTTTTCTGTAGATATCTTCATCACTTGATCATAATTTGTGCTAAAAAGAAACAGAAAACAAGTAGAAAATAGGCAAGCTATGAGGAAGAAAATTCATAAAATGGAATAAATAAGTTAATTGCACATAAGTGTACATATGTGTTATGTATAAAGCATGCATATAAAAGGAAACTTCCAGAAGTTCACAGATAATGGAATTAAAATATACATTTACTTTGGTATAACATTTTTGAAACCTATCCGTATTAAAAGATTTTCAGAAAGCTGATAGAAAGCTTATGTGAAAAACAGGTTAATAAATTTCAAAAACCCTTTGCAAAAAAATCATCTTTGTTTTCATATTCCCAGACCTTTTTGGAGAGTTCTGATTTAACACAGTAAAAGCAAGGTATATAAGCATGATAACACCATAAATATGAATTATAATATTATAATTTGTAGCCAATTTATCTATATATTCATGTATTATAAATAAAAATGCCTGCTATTCTTTATGTAATGTAAAAGGGATACTTTGATGAATTTAGTTTGCCTTAAAAGGTAAAAAAGGAGAAAATCAGAAGAAAATACTGTTGGGTGCTTTTTTAAAAGGTTATTTCCGTTTATTTGAAAGGCAGAGCAGCAGAGAGGGGAGCAGACAGGGAAAGAGCTATCCCATCCACCAGCTTACCCCCCACATGACTGCCATTTGTCTGGGGCTGGGTCAGGCCAAGGTCCGGAGCCCAGAACTCCATCTGGGTCTTTCACGTGGGTGTCAGGAGCCCGAGTACTTGGGCCAGTTTTCACCCCAGTGCACGCTCAGGGAGCCGAATGAGAATCAGAACAACCAAGCCAGGCCATTCACGTGAAATACTGTTGCAGCAGGCAGCATTCCAACTTGCTGGGCCATAGTGTTATCCTCCAGAGAGTTTTTATTTTAATCATTGAGTGAAGTTGGGCATGGAGGAAGAAGTCACAAGGTAACTTGATTGGCTTTCTTTACACGCTGGCATAAGCTCCATGAAGTGAAGTGCTTCTGTAGCTGTTCCCTGTTTTACTGTCACTCCTGATCAAGTGTGAATATGTGACTGAGCAGCAATTGCTCAGTCTGAGTGACTTCAGGGTGTGAAGATGTGCCACAAAGCCCATGGACAGCATAGTATTCCAGATCTAGTACTCTTGTCACATGTCCCTCAGGTCTCATCCATAATTACAACTAAGGAACCCACAGCTTCACAGTCATTGCTCACAATCGGAAAACCCTTTGCAGCTTGGGACTCATTTGTTATTTTCTTTGGTAGAATTAAAATGAAATGAACTCAACGTTTCTCCTGTTTTTCTTTTTTTTTAAACTTTCCCTTGTATTTCATCTAACTGCTTTTCCTGAGTCTTCTTTCTTTGGACAGGTGGAAAATTCTGGTGATCCCTGGCTCAAAATTGGAAATTCACAGAATATATCCTACTTTGACTCGGTTTACCTGGTGATGGCGACAACCTCAACTGTTGGCTTTGGTGATGTGGTGGCCAAGACTTCCCTGGGACGGGCCTTCATCATATTCTTCACTCTAGGGAGCTTGGTGAAGAATATTTTTAATAAGTTTTCAATATAGCTACCTAAACAAACAAAAAATTTCCTGGTTAATGGTGAGAAACAAAGCCATCTAGGTCAGTGGTGCATGGTGTAACTGCCTGGTTGCAAGAGATGAATAATGGTGGATAAGAGAGGTGATTTCCTTTACTGGCTCTTGCATGGTCACACAACCCTGTCTTCCCTCTTTAGCTAAGCAGATTACAGTAGTTATTTCTTTAAAATTTGATCTTAGGAAAGTTCTGTTCCTCCCAGGCCAGACAAGTAAGCCCTCACTATGCATGACAGCATTTAATTTTGAATGACTGCAGACTCTGCATTGTCCAGCAGCATAGCAAAGCCAAAACAAATGTCTTTTTTTTTTAAGACTTCCAATTCAATTTCTTCAAACTCTCGCCACTCCACCTCTATAATATTTTCTATTCATGTCAATCATTACCTAATTTTTAATGTTTGTTTGTTGTCTATTTGTAGTATAGAGAAGGACAGAAAGAGAGAGATTTTTGTTCCAGGGTTCAGTCCCTAAATGCCCAGAATCGCCATGGCTGGGCCAGACTCAAGCTGACAGAAATTCCCAGTATGAGTTACATGGGCCTCAGCACCTGAGTCATCATTTACATCTTTAGCATGAAACCTATTAGCCTGGACTCTAACCCATACTCTAATATAAGATGTGGTTGCTCTAAGTGTCGGCTTAAACCGCTAAGCCACACACCCGTGTGCTTAACTGTTCTCAAGCCTCAAAAGAGTGTGAAGCAAGGAAAGAAGTTAGGATGATGAGCAGAACCAGCAGGGAAGTTGCCTTACTGTCTCCCTTTGCTGTAATTGTTGGATATTAAATTTTAACCAAATCCAAAGGGTAAAATCACAAAAAATAGCGCTTTTTTTCTCAGCATGCAATTCAACATCATGCCCCTTCTCTATGGGAGAACATTGTGTATACCTTCTATCTCCCTGATAGTCATAGACTTCTGGGGAATCTGTCTAAATAATGAAACCAAAGGTTTTTGGCTGCCCATTTTAGGTGTTAGTTGCAAACTACATCCCTGAAATGCTGGAACTTTTGGCTAAAACAAGAAACTACACCGGCTCCTATGAAGTGGTAAAAGGAAAAAAGTAAGTAATCTTTCTGTTGTAATTTCCACGGTTTGAGATATTCGTTTATCATACATCCTGTTCTAGACGCCTTGTGCCTGCTGGTCTGGTTATAAAACCAAATGTGGAAAATGAATTGAAAAGAGAGGTTTATTTGGTGGAAAAAAACATACATGCTTTGAAGTTCATTCATATGAAGGAGCTTCAAAACATTCTTGGGAGGCCGACATGGCAGCGTAGCGGCTAAATGCTCACCTTGCATCTGCTGGAATCCCATATGGACATCGTTTCACGTCCCAGCTGCTCTACTTCCCATCCAGCTCCTTGCTTTGGTCTGAGAAAGCAGTCAAGGTTGAGCCAAAGTCTTGAGACCCTGCACCTGTGTGGGAGACCAGAAGATAATCCTGGCCCTGGATTTAGATGGGTTCAGCTCCAGCCATTGCAGCTACTTGGGGAGTAAACCAGTGGACAGAAGTTCTTTCTCTCAGTGTCTTCCCAACTCTGTAAATCTGCCTTTCCAATAAAAATAGATTTTCAAAAAAGAGTTCTTGGAAAATACATGTTTTGAGAAAACTGTGTTTGGCTTTTAAAATTTTTGTATGAAAGTAAGCTTCTGCTTTCATTCCATATCCTGCAAAGTTAAAATTTAGCCATTTTGCCAAGGTTCTTTTCTGCTAAAGAGAACACTGTGGGAATAAAAAACATGTGGAGATACTTGATACTGAATGCAGACTACTATGTAGCTACTCAGAAGAGCAGTAAATGAGCCATTGTGGCATATGATGTAATTTACCAGCACTAAAATATTAATTGTGGTCATATTTCTACATTCCACACTACTATAGTCTCATATCCATTACTGATTTTTTTTTACTCATTTTCATGAACACTTGACTTTGTACAGTGGATCAAATTAAAACCAAGTTTCACATTTTACTTATTTATATATATTTATATATCTATTTGAAAAGCTGAGTTACACAGAGAGATAAGGATATATGCAGAGAGAAAAGTCTTTCATCTACTGGTTCCCTCCCCAAATGACCAAAATGGACAGAGACAGTCCAGGCCAAAGTTAGGCATCAGGAACAGCTTACGGGTTTCCTTCATGGGCACAAGTCCCCGAACACTTGGGACATCTTTCTCTGCTTTCCAAGCATATTAGCAGGGAGTTTTATCATGCTGACAATGCGGGTGGCAGCTTTATGTGCTATGCCACAGCACTGACTCCCCAAGTTTCCCATTTTAAATAATTCTGTTCTGTTATCTTAGCAAACCCTCCCCATCACCCCAGATTTATGGAGCTCACTATGGGTAGATACATTTTTGAGGGAGGAGCATTTTCCTCCCTCCATTCTGCAGTATTTCCTGGGACATTGCGTTTGACCATGCAGGTGTTGGTTTCCAGGAGGCCCAATGCTTCTGTGACTGCAGGTAACCTCAGCTTCAGTGGCTCTTTTTCCCAAGTAATAGAAAGAAGGTGTTGGAGCAATTAAATTCAGTGTGTTTTTGTGTGTATTCAGTTGCTATGTGCTTGTTAGGAAAAAAAAAAAAACAGACAAACAAACAACTCCCTTGCAGTGGTCTCTCTATACAGTTCAAACCACTATTGGCTGAGGAGTATGAAGAAGAAAGGAAAAGAAAATACAGTGAAATGAATGAAACCATGAGGAACAGTGAAACAAATTAAGACATGTCAAAATCTTAAGAAAATCAACAGCTCTTTTCCTTAACCAGACCGTGTGCACAGATGTCTGCACCTGCTATACATGCTTTTCCAATGTACTCAATTTTCTGCTACTACCCCATCATTTCAGGCACAAAAAAAGTCACAAACAGAAATAACCTAGAATGTGGTGGTGCTACCTCAGTTGTAGGGTCTGACTGTGGAGGAAATCTCCATTCCCACTTAGGGAAACAAACAAACAAACAAATAAAAAAAAAAACTTAACCTACTTACAGATCAAGTTATCACTTAGTTCATCAAATGAGCCATCATCTTCAAAAAGTCCATGGTAAATCTGGATGTTGGAAAAATAATGCCTGGAGTTTCAATGCTTTCGGCACCAATGTAAACTTGACTTTTTCATTCTATTTTCCATGGATTTTTTGAACCACCTTCATCTACTAGGAAGAATTTAGTTAAAACAATGGTTACCCTCCTTATGTCTGAAGAGCTATCTGCAACTCAGATGTTTGGGATCATATTGCACTCAAGATGGACTAGAAGACTCCAGAAGTCTGATATTCCTACCATTGGCAAGACAGTCATTCCTGTTTCTCTTTTTAAAATCTGGAGTGAATCATGTATCAGCTGTATTGACAACAAAGTTTACCTTCGCTCACTGTCTCTAAACCTTGACAGCAAGGTGCTTCTGCTCCTCACAGGGTCCCCCTCCCCTGTTCTTGCTGCCTAGGTACATTGTGGTCTGTGGAAACATCACCGTAGACAGTGTGACGGCTTTCCTGAGGAATTTTCTTCGCCACAACTCAGGGGAGATCAACACAGAAATTGTTTTCCTGGGAGAGTAAGTGTGGCTAGGTTGTGATGTGTGAGTGCTACAGTGAGTACTGGACACGCATGTGGGTATCTTTAGTGGAATACAGTGACGTATGTCACATTCATAGAAAACTCACAAAGTGATAACAAGCAACAGCTGAACAAAGCAGAGAGGGGTAGTCTCATGACTTACGGTAATGTCTGCAAATAATCGGGACTGTCTCCTTCCGGCCGTTTTTCTGTGTGCGTGCTGACATGAAGTGGCCACTCTTTCGCCTTTAAACTTCCTGCTCTTATCATACACAATGATAGTTGTGGGCACAAGCCTAGAGCATTTGATCATTTTCATTGGTTGGTTCTCAGAATGTGAAATTCAGTTCTCCAAATGGAGGATGACTCCTCATGTATGCAATTCATGCACTTTCCTTTTCTATTAGCGTTTCAAGTCATATTGTTTGTCAAATATTGGGGAACACATGTTTAGTGCAAAAAGAAATTTAACTAGTATTTAAATATGCAAAATTGTTTCTTTTATTTTACGGTTTTCAATTTTGGTTTATAGTGAGATGGAGTGATTTTACACCTTAATCTGAGATCAATATGTTTTCATGTAAATTTTTTTCATAGATTGTGTCTATTTTGATGCTTCTTTTACCTTCTGATTTATTTACACTTTTGTTTTAATGCAGAAGCATGTGATTTTCATATGCTCCAGTCCATCACTTTTTCTCTTGCTTTTCTGTCATCCTTAGCTCTCTTTGTTCTACATTTAAGTGAATGTTTTCCTAGCGTTTCTGAGTTTGTATTGTAATTTTAGTATTTAGGCTCATGATAGTTTATTTTGTTCACTATGTCTAGAATCAAGTCGGTTTTTTTCTCAAGTTGACTAGTCAGTCACCCAAACATCATTCACTAAATATAGGACTCTTCAACTCTTCATGGAAAACGTATGTTACAAAAAATGTGGACATGAATTTCAAAACTTTTCACACAAAAATAAGCTTAACCTTTAATTCCATTTCCATAGACTTTTTGAAGGACCCTTGACAGTGAGCCAGATTTGAAGTGATATTTTGATTTTTTTTAAGAGTTTATTTCATTTTTATTGGAAAGGCAGATGTACAGAGGAGGAGAGGCAGAGAAGAAGATCTGCCCGATGGTTCATTCCCCAGGCGGCCACAACTGCTGGAGCTGAGCCAATCCCAAGCCAGGAGCCTCTTCCGGGTCTCCCACATGGGTGCAGGGTCCCAAAGCTTTGGGCCGTCCTTGACTGCTTTCCCAGGCCACAGGTGGGGAGCTGGATGGGAAGCGGGGCTGCCGGGATTAGAACTGGCGCCCATATGGGATCCCGGGCGTGCAAGGCAAGGACCTTAACCTCTATGCCATTGCGCCGGGCCCAATATTTTGATATTATATAGGATGGTGTGTGGGGCCACCTTAACCTTCACAGTTTTTTTTTTTAGTTGAACAGTCAGTACTTTCACACAGAGATGTCTGATACACCATAAAGTTGAATTTCTATAAATGTGAGATCCAACAGCATTTTCACCTACTTTATAATGCTGTAAGTGAATAGCCAGTGTTTTTGTTTCTTTAGCATGTCACTGTCTTTTGAGCAATTTGTGCATTCTTTTCATCATTAACAGGAAAAAATAAAAATTGAAAGTACTAAAACTAGTAATAAGCTCATAATTATAATCCAGGGTTTGAAAAATTGAATTATGAAGAATGATTTTATTGAATACTACATTTCTATGGGCTACTGTGGATTGTTTTTCATAATTATCAAGGTAATAAATAAAGTTTTATAAACAATGCAAATTTTAGAGGCATCTTCAGAATTTTGTTAGTTACATTTATACTCTAAGGACTGCAATTTACGTTCTTCATCAAATATTTTTGTAGATTATAAATTCAAGCATCCAATTGCTTACTGAAATTTTCCATAATCATATTTTAAGGTACCCTCTTCACCATTTTTTTTAAACAGGATTTCAGCTTTTAAACAAAATTAAAAAAAAAAGTTTTGGGACGAGCACAGTAGCCCAGTGTTTAAACCCTTGCCTTGCATCTGCCAGAATCCCATATAGGCACTGGATCATGTCCCGGCTACTCCATTTCCCTTCCAGCTCCCTATTTGTTGCCTGGGAAAGCAGTCAAGGATGGCTCAAAGCCTTGGGACCCTTCACCTAGGAGAAAATGGAAGAGGCTCCTGGCTCCTGGCTTCGGACACACTCAACTCTGGCCATTGTAGCCACCTGGAGAGTAAACCAGTAGCTGGAAGATCTCTCTCTCTGTCTTTTGTTCTCTCTGTAAATCTGATTTTCCGATAGATACTTATTTTAAGTGCAGAGTTACATAAAATGGGAAAGACAGAGAAATAGATCTTTTACCTGCTGGTTCACTCCCAAAACGGCAGTAATGGCTTGAGCTGAGCTGATCCAATCCAGAAGCCCGGGACTTCTTTTAGGTCTCTCATGTGGGTGTTGGGGCCCAAAGACCTGCATCATCCCCCACTTCTTTTCAGGAAGTAAGCAGAAAGATGGATTAAAGAAGTGAAGAAGGGCCTGCCATGTTAGCAAAAGGTTAAAGTTCCTGCCTTGAATGCTCCTGGGTACCATACAGGCATCAGTTGTAATCCTGGCAACCCCACTTCCCATCCAGCTCCCTGCCTGTGGCCTGGGAAAGCAGTGGAGGATGGCCCAAAGCTTTGGGACCCTGCACCTGTGTGGGAGACCTGGAAAAAGCTCCTGGCTCCTGGCTTGGGATTGGCTCAGCTCCAGCAGTTGTGGCTGCTAGGGGAGTGAACCATCGGGCGGATCTTCTTCTCTGCCTCTCATCCTCTCTGTACATCTGCCTTTCCAATGAAAAAGTTATAAATAAAAAAGTTCAAAAACGATTTTTATCAAAAAAATTTCAATTTTTTTTTCAAAAAAAAATCTTCAAAAGCAAGCTCATGTTTTACTCCATTTTCCACCTCATGAGAAAAAACAGGCAAAGGTTAAATGTGGAAAGCAAGGTGGCCAGTGTAGCTCAGCAGGTTAAGCTACTGTTTAAAGCACGTGACTCCTATGTTGCAGTTGCTCCACCTGCAATCCAGCCCCCAGTTACCACATAGTCAAGGCAAAGGATGATGGATCAAGTACTTGTGTACCTGCCACCTCTTTGGGAGATCTGCAAGGAATTCCGGGATGGTTCTGGCTTCTGCCTGGCCCAGCCTTGGCTAGTGCAGGCATCTGGGAAGTTTGTCAGCAGATAGAAGCTCTTCCTCTCTGTGTGTGTTGCTCTCTTTCTGTCTCTTTCTCACACTCTGCTTTTGAAGTGGAGACAATGAATCATAAATTATCATTCAAAAAGTTAAGGAATGTGAACAGCATCTTCCATCTGGGAAATGGGATAGGACTAGTGCAGCATCTGGAAACAGTGAGACGGGCATTTTCCTGGCAATCCCTGCCTCCCTTCATTCCCTTATAGATTTGTATCAGTCTCATCCACTTAGTTTCATAACAAAACCCGAATTCTGTTTTTGCTACCTTTTCCCACTATGATGATCCCATTTAGTTAAACCGTGTCTTCTGTGGATTAATAGGAAAAAAAAAAAAAAACAAAAACCCCTTCTCATTGGTTTGTGCTTTTGGTTCCTGGATCTGTTCCCATCCTTTAATACCCCCAGAGACCTTCCCATCCATCTTGTCTAAATAGGTATCCTTGACTTTCTTCTATCTCATTACTCTGCTCTATTCCCTTTTTTCTTTTTTTATAAAATTTATTTTGACATTCTTTACATAGTTAATTAGGGTAAGAAGGTTCAAGGGCTACAGGAAAGTTCTATTCCCTTTTATATAGTCATTACCCTTTGACTCTGCAGCTGATTTTCCTTTAATAAATACAACTGCTAGCATTTCCTTTTTCTACTGTGTAATCATGCTACCACTCTCCTTGAGTCTTGACTTGCAATGACTTGTGTTGATAAAGAGGATGTAGAGGCTCGGTTTGCCACATCCAGACTAGCCCTTCAGAGGAGGGTGTTTTCAGCTTTCACAGAGTATCCTGAGCCATCATGGAGAGAATGTCCAACCACCGATCAGCTCACCCACCTGCAACAGCAGTCACATGTGCAGTCATTTTGGATATTCTAAGTCTCAATCAAGCCCTCAGATGCACAGCCCCACTTAGCCAATGTTATACTGAGCAGAAGAAGTTAAATATCTGACACCATTCAAGCTACGAAAGTAGGAAGATTGTGTTGCTTAAGCTAATAAACAGTAGAAAGGTTTGCTTTACTAAAATGGACACCTGATACAAAAAGTGGTTATGTCAACATAAATTTCAACATGTAACCTTTTCCTATGACCTGGCAGTAGATACAGGCTCTGGAATTTGAAGGAGACTGTTGATAAATGCTAGAAATGCAGCGAAGAAATGGTTAATTAAAAGGAAAGCTATTCACGTTACCATAGCAGAATATCGGTAGCACTGTCAGTGGCAACAACCTGAGACATAGAAAATATAACCAATGAAATTATGAAGGTGGATAATAAAATTTCCCAAAAGAATGTCATCATTGGAGAAAAGATACTATAAGAAAGTTGAGCCAAAAGGAGAAATTCTTTGGTTTTCAAGCAGAACTTCAAATGTTGAAAGCCTAGAATATGGCTCCACTCACACAAAAAGCATGAAATCACAGGAAAATCAAATCTAACCTATAATATGCGTAAGATAGGATCTTCGGGGCCAAGACACGATCGAGAACACAGCTGTAAGGATAAGTGTCGGACGTGCATATGATTTAGGATGCCGAGTTAGAATGCTCACATCAGGTGAAAGGGTTTCAAGTATGCGCAAAGACCTTTCCAGAAGCCCGAGAAGCTCAAAATAAGGTGTTCTGTTCAGGGTTCTGTTCAGAGTTGTGTGTCGTGAAAGGAACCTAAATAAGCTTCACAGATAATCGTAATGCCTTCAACAAGCCTTCAGTGCTGTTATTCCTGTCAATTTGGAGTGCAAATTGCTTCCAGTGTTGGCTGTCCT